GGCATGGTGCATTCTTCACAGGAACTATTGTATTCCGATTTAGATATGCAGATAAAAGTGTAAATTATAGGGCAATAATATCAATAACATTTGAGTATTGCTGTACATTCAGTTCGAGGCAGTGCAGTTGAATTGAGTGAGCCCAAAGTAAATATGCAGAAAGGAAATTCAGCTATACAGAAAGAGAAGTGAATAAATAAAATGGGAGATGAATAGTTTTTGATTGTTTGATTTGATTTAGGCTGTTAAGGTGGTGTAAATGCCTGACTCTAGGGGTCCTGATTATACCCTAGAAATGTCGATAATGAATTCACGCTCGGATAAGAAAGTCTTTTTATTGTATGACACTCATCAATCAGCCCTTTTATCATTTCACGTTATCTTTGGTTATTCCAAAGTGGTCTTTAGAAGCCTACTATTTTTCAATCGTTAATTGCGATACTACTTCTCCATTAGCCGTTATTGATGCGCTACTCTGAATTCTTCGTCCATATTTTTCTCTTTCTCACTATTTGGCTCATTTACTCATGGTATGTATAAGTCACCAGAATAAAATCCGTCTTATGATGGTATAGTTAACCATTCTACCAACTACCGTTAATAAACACTTACAATTCATAGGAATTTGGTTCCATTCGCTAGTCAGCCTAGGAATTAAGTTGCATACTCATGCTTTCCCTATGTGCCAACTTTACTTCGTTCGAGACGTTGCCTATTATTTGTTTGAGCAGTTCATCTGGTAGGTATTGGTAGGTCTATAGCTCTATTGACTGTCGTCTGAGGCCCCCTTCAACGTATATTACTAATGCATTTTAGAAAAAATGTCCTTTTATTCTTGTTATTCTATCACTTATGCATTTCATCTATCCGCATTTACTTGTCCGTCGGTACTATGCCTTACTTTGATGCCGAGTAGGTATGCCGCCTGACTGCGTCTGAAACGAAGTTGCTACGTGAATTAGTGGAAGAGCGTGAGGCCTCTGCAGTGATGGCTCGGCGAGTTCAAGCCCGACAACGTGATCTGGTCCGTCAGCTTTGGCAGGCGACACGTCGGTTAGCCGAGCTGGAAGGCGGTCAGGAGAGGCGGCCTTCTGAAGGTGGCACCACAGTCTCCCTCGCTGGTGTTGGTGAGGATTCCAGCAGACCAGTGAATACGGTATATTCGACAACGCAAACGACCATCAGATACTCGGAAGCAATCGTGCTGGCCATATGAGCTCGGGTCTAGTTCATCAGTCTGAAAATTCAGCAGGTCTTAAAAACACTATCTTATATTTGGGCTAGCCAAAGGTAATGCTAACATGGTAGATGATGGTGACTATGCCGTTGTCAAATGTTGCTTATAATGAGCAGCCTTTGAATGCTATTGATGCGGATGCGGACACTTTTGCATTTGTTGTTCCTGTGGCCAATGGCGCTGAACTAAATGAGGATAATTGTAGTATCAATAGTCGCAAGGTTTCCGATATTTATTACGTCTGTTGTTGGAATATATTTGCCATCGTTTACTGATGTCCTGCTATCCTTAACTGCTGCTGCAATTATGTTTGCTATGAATGATGATAAGGCTTGTTCTTTTTATATTCCTATTTTATTTGGGAAGGAAGAGGCAGGGACCAATAGTTACTTTGCCCACAGTGCATGCAAGATAAAGTTTGATTTTCCAATAAAATTTATATATTCTATAGATTATCAAGAGTGAATCGCAGTTACTATGTTGCTTCTAGCTCATCCTCATCCCTTGATAGATTCTTCAGCAACTCCTTATCCTTAGCTCCAAAGCAGATTGATAAAATATTTTTTAGAGACTAAAGAAAACCACACATCATTCATT